AGGATCTGGAACCAACTCCCAAGAGAAGTGGTGCTGGCTCCTACCCTGGGGGTCTTTAAGAGGAGGCTAGATGAACACCTTGCTGGGGTTGTTTGGCCCCAGTACTCTTTCCTGCCATGGCAGGGGGTCGGACTTGTTGATCTGCTCAGGTCCCTTCCAATCCTACTAACTATGAAACTGTCTAAAAAACACAAGAAAAAACACCATAGTTTTAACGATATGTGGCAATAACACAAAATTAAAAAATCAAAAGATCGAATGAGACATAGTCCTGTCCTTTTGAGGAGAACCAAATGGACAGTGACTCTGAGGAAGTCATGGAAACATTTGTGTAAATGACCACAGCTTGTGCCTCAAAATCTGTTTTTAATTTACTGTCCTATACACACACACACACACACACACACACAGAAAGCTTTTATAATATTTAAGACTGTTAGAAATGTTGCCCCAAATTTAAAACAAGAGGCATATTTTTCCAGGAGGGCATATATAGAGATTAAAGTGACTAAAAAGTAAGTAAAACAGGTTTAATTGTTTTTCATTATTCACGCTGAATTGTGTAAAGAGCAAACAAAAAGCATAATTAATAACAAGCAAATTAGTTTCTACATAAATATTTCACTTCTGTTCTTCTTGGACTTGACTAATAACCAATGTGACCAAGCATATGCATTTTAAGCTCTGAGACGTTTTATGTAATAGAGGTAATCTGTTAGCAGTGAGAAATGTGAGTGTGTCATCCGCCCTCACATTTGTCTTTACTCCCTGAGAATTATCAGTAATCTGGTAGAAGTACAACCTTACCTCTTTGATTTTTTGAGGACTGCATGTCTGAGTTTTAAACTATGACAAAGTAGTGGAAATTTCAAAGTTTGTTAATGCTTCAAAGTGCTTCTGAACTGATCCTTTTTCCTTTTTTTCTCATCCTGGCAGGATTTCTTCTCCTTTCACTCCTGGTATGATATTTCTCATACCCTTTACTCCATCTAGATGCTTTTCCCTAAGTCTTTGTAGCTCATGAAATGTTTAACATGTTCAGGACCTGATACTAATGCTCCCCATGCATGGAACATCCTTTAGATCAGTTGGAGCTCTATGTGCAATGGTTTTAAGGACAGATTAAATTAAACTTCCTGACTATTGTACAGTGCACTGTGACAGAGAACTCAAACCCATTTCTCTTATTGTCATAGCAAAAGAAATCTTTTAAGCAACTGTGGCAGTGCATGATACTATATAGTGAATGGTTGGTGTCAGTCAAATAAACCATGTCCTGAGGAGCTCACTGGAAAGATCTGTGTAGGTGCAACACACCCTAACACAAGCATAATAAAAAATAAAGTTATGTAAGGACCCACTATTAGGGCTTCTTATAAAAATCTAGATGAGGATTTTGATGAAGCACCAGTAGGACATTACTATTGCAACAAAGATAGAAGAGTCTCCAAGTGGTCTCCTAACCCATGAACCTCTTGTCTGTCTAGGGACCATGGCTGAGGAGACTGAACCTGGTGTGCGAGCAAGACACCAAGGGGCCCTCTACACCCTCTTCCCTGACCATTCTGTAGTCAAGCAACTGGAACAGGTGGACATCTCTAATGGCTTGGATTGGTCACTGGATTGCCAAACTTTCTTTTACATCGATAGCTTGACATATGCTGTGCATGCTTTCAACTATGATGAGCATACAGGAAAAATTGGTACGGTTACTTTTCTTAAATGTGTTTTTTGTTCATTTAGTTTGCCTGTCTGCAGCAAGAATAGGATGCATAATTGCTTGTGGCAGATGCATGTCAATTCTCTGTCAGCAGACTGATTTCCTTGATTTTATCCATGATACAAAACTGTCATGAATTCTAGTTGCTTGTGAACAGTTTGCTGAGAGAATACAATATTCAGGCTCTTTACATTGGCAACCTAGGGCAAATTAAGTGCTGATGTAAAGAGGTGCACAAAGGAAGCCATTTATATTGTGCAACCAAATGCTTTCACCACATCACTTTAGTGATTTGAATTTAAAAAAAAAACATAAGCAAGGCAGTATATGCTTGAGTGCCATCTACTGGCATACTATTTATGTATACACAAGCCTAGAGTATTCTCATGACCAGGGATCTGGGTTTTACATTTCCCATGGAAAAACAGAAAAAACCACGGATCTCCCATTTCTATCAGAGAAAACATGGATTTTTCCCTTTAGAAGGTAAACCCATGGATTTCCCCCTTTTGCAAAGAGCTCTGCAGGCAGATAGAGTTCCAGCCTACAAGAGCTGTTTGCAAAAGGGGCGGGGAAACCCTCAACCCTGCTGGGAGGGAAACCATGGGCGAAGGGCTGGGCCTGATGCTCACACTTACTGGAGGCTGTTTCAGGCTCACTCTTCTTGCTGGAGGTAAGTGAGGCTTGGGAATTGTGGGGCAGGGCTGGGGGGGAAGCTGGCTAGGGGCTGAGGGAGCGGGGAGTTTTGTAGCTAGCCAGGCACTCCAGCTGGGAGGGGGTTTGCAGCCTCCCCGCTTCTGGCCAGAGTGCTTGGCTGGCTGGAAACGCCTGTTGCTCCTGGCCAGCTGCAAACCTACCTGCTCCCTCAGCCCTCAGCCAGCCTGGGCATTCCCTGGCTGGGCACTCCAGGCAGGAGGCGGGGTTTGCAGCTGGCCAAGCACTCTGGCTGGGAGCAGGCAGGCTACAACCCCCCTCCCAGCTGGAGTGCCTGGCCAGCTTCAAACCCTGGATTGCAAATGCTGTGCTCCCTGCCCTGCTGCCCTCCCCCAGGCTCTCCAGAGCACAGCATGGTGTGGCTGGTGCGTCAGGGACCACACACAAAAGCTGCCTGTCGCTGCAAGCTCCGTGCTGTCCTGGCCACACTTCCTCTGCATGCATGGGGGCAGCACACATTTACCCTGCGCCCCCCTCCTCAGATCTGGGGGGCGCAGGTCCCCCTTGCTCCCTGGGAGTGCGCACTGCCACTGGGAGCTGGCCCTGCCTGAGCCTGTAGCAGGCACAGTGCTGGGGGAGCTGGCTCCTGCTCCTGCTGTAGCAGTCACTGCCTTCTGTTGAGGCCAGGGGGCTGTGGACCTGGGTCCCTGGCCCCATAGCCCTGGCAGCTGGGGGCCCCCTCCAGCAGGGCTGGGGGGCAGGGCCTGTGGGTGGGGGGCAAAGGGCACAAGCAGGGCTGGAGGGCTGTGGCGGGGGGTGAGGGAGTGAGGGACACCAGCCGGGCTATGGGGGGCATTTAATTTTAACCACAGATTGAGGGGATTTTTTTCAGAGAATTTGCAATTTTTTAGCAGAGAATTTGTGGGGTTTTTTATCATGAGAAAACCAGGATCCCTGCTCATTACACAGGTTCACACACTGTTTCTCTCCACTGATTTCAGGAGCACATTTCTAATATCAAGTTTCCAGTATGAACAGAAATCAAAATTATGGAGTTTAAAAAATTTCCACAAACATTCTGTGGCTTTCACTTAAAGTTTGCTATTTGGGCAAAGATTTCTTGGTTATTCAATATTTGTGCAGAGGAAAGCGAATGAATATAAAAACATAACTGATGCAATTTATTTACAACGTTTAAACAGCCAGTGAAATATTTCTTGCAGTCCTTGCCCATCTTAAAGAGCAACAATTCAGCTGAATCAGTTGTAATTCAAATAATCAAAGTAAATCCCTTTGTAACTCTAATCTGTTCAGGTTTTTGGAAACACAAATAAAATTCTTAGTGGGTAAAATGGTCTAGGTAGATTTAATCTTCCTTCTCTACATTTTTCTATAGTTTTGGGTGATAAAATTTGTAAAAAACAGTTCCAGGATACCTGTTTTCCAAAATATGACAACATTCTGTACCTGAGCTTGCTTTTGTCTTGCTTTTATCCTGGTGAATCTCCACTGTAGTTGCCAATTAGACTGACAAGCCTACCTTATGATACTGAGAATTTTCAAAATTAGGCACAAATAATTACATGTCTAAAAGCCTCAAACAAGAATATTGTTGTGCGTACATAGATTGCCATATACGTATGAAGAAAACAGGGTTCTGCACACAGGCAGGAGTCCTCCTGCACATATCATAAGGTTCATAGATTCAATCTGTGAATCAAATCATACGTTCGGGGCTTTTAGACATGTGCCTAATTTTGAAAATCCTCAGTCCTCATTGCCAAAAGCCCAATTAAAATAAGGGTTTATACTTAGCTGAAGAGCAGCCAGTTCCTTGCAGCATTAAAACAGGTTCTTGTTCTTCATCTGGGGGGATTTATGTATTACCTACAATTAAATGGAATTAAAGAGGTTTCTTTGATTTATGTACAGAACAATGCACAGGCTTACATCAGCGGCAAGCACCTGAAGTGAACTCATTGTGCCTGAGACCGCCAAAAATTAGTTTAAGGCAAAGTGCTTTGAGTAATATGGATAGAACAAATTCTTCAGCAACAAAAGCCGATATCCCTTTCTTGGTCAAATCAAAGAAATTGAAATTCAAGATAGCTTCAGAGCACAATGGTCTCACTGGCTATTTATTTCTGTCAGTCCAAGTTGTGTTCACGTCAGTTTTCTCAGGCATGTGTACATTACTCATTTTTATGCCTCCATTGCACTAAATGAGTTTATTTGTTTGCAAGAATATGATTGTGGAAAACATTAAATTGATGCATAGTTGTGTGTCTGGGCTAGCCCACCACAGTGAGCGCTGACTTCAAATTCCATCTTGTAGCCAACTGTAAAACTGTGTACAAACTTGAAAAGGAGGAGCAAATGCCTGATGGGATGTGCATTGATGCAGAAGGGAAACTTTGGGTGGCCTGCATTGATGGAGGGAGAGTGATCCGTATAGATCCTGAGACAGGTAAGTCCTCCCAGAGGATAAATTGCACTGCATGCACCAGGTTGGGGCCTGGGACATGGGCATTATTTGTGGCAAGTTCACTTTGTAGTGTTTGCTTGTACCACATCCTTTGTCTGTGTCCTGTTCTGATTCTGGACCACATATTTTTGTTATTACAAGAAATGGCAACAAGCACTGTGCGATCATCAGGGATCCTAGTTTTGTCTGATTTAAAGAATTCCCCAATTTTCAGGTTAAAAAAAGCCACATTTTTCCATGATCAAACTGAAAGACCACTCTATCTATCTATCTATCTATCTATCTATCTATCTATCTATCTATCTATCTATCTATCAGCAGTGTTTCAGCTTGATCACAGAAAAATGTGGCTTTTGGGTTACTTTCTTTAACCTGAAAATTGAGGATTTTTTTTTTAAATCAGAGAAAACCAGGATCCCTAGTGATTATTCAATGGCAGTTTTTCAAACCTCTAAGTTTTGAAAACAAGGAAAAAACCTAGCTGAGGTGCACAATGCAATCTTAACTCTGCTCCCTAGGTTTGGCAATATATTCCCAATATATTTCCTGCAAGAGCTCAACCTGCATTGTCTGTGTTAGTCTCCTGTGTGAAATGGTGGAGGGATTAGATGTAGCAATTAGGGAAGATTATGTTTATGATACAATTATGATATCACTAGCATTGATTTACCTGAGGTGAACCATCAACCTCTTTTTGCACTCTTAATTTAGCCCAAAAAGCAGGTGCATGATGGCACAGGTCCTTATGATGTTTTGGTACTGAGGTGGTTTTTTGTGGAACAAGGGCTTCTGCCAATGTGAAGCTTGCCTATTTCTAATTGCACTTGCTTTGCATAAGTTACTGCTGCCACCTGAAAAAGGGAAATGGAGCTGCATGAAGGAAGCATACAAAACTTGCTGGGAAGTAAAAGGTAATTAGAGATGACACTGTTGAAACAATACATCACATTTCTGCACAAACTGTATAGAAATTGCCTTTTTCTTAAAGGCAATATTTGCGCTGTAAAAATCAGTCTCTCTGAGCAGCACAGCGGTAGGGTTGCAACTCTGACTGAAGTGATTCCAGCATGTTTTTTTCCCCCCAACATGACGTAATGCCATTAATTTCATTTTCTTAAAATATCTTGTTCATATCTCCTGGGTTGCTTTCAATAGTCACCAGGAGATTGATGCCAATTCTGGTAGATTCCCAGCCAATCCGGGAGGGTTGGCAACCCTACACAGTTGCTGCACATGTGTTTCATAGTTTCATAGTTTCTAGAGTCGGAAGGAACCTTAGCAGATCATCTAGTCCGACCCCCTGCCATGGCAGGAAAGAGTACTGGGGTCAAACGACCCCAGCAAGGTGTTCATCTAACCTCCTCTTAAAAACCCCCAGGGTAGGAGCCTGCACCACCTCTCTTGGAAGTTGGTTCCAGACCCTAGCTGCCCTGACCGTGAAATATCGCCTCCTGATGTCTAACCTAAACCTACCCTCTGCTAGCTTGTGACCGTTATTCCTGGTCACTCCTGGTGGTGCTCAGGGGAACAGTGACTCCCCCAGTGCCTGCTGATCCCCCCTGACTAGTTTATAACAGGCCACAAGATCCCCCCTCAGCCTTCTCTTGTGGAGG